CATACACACACACACACACACTCTCTCTCTCTCAAACACACAACACATGTATATATATATATATATACGTACCATACGCATTCGATAGAACTATACCATCGTACAGATTCAATATATATACATACAAACCATACACATTTAATTTAATTATAGATATCACACGTATTCCAATACTACCACACGCATTCAATGTAATTCTATGCAATTATACATACACTTATACGTACCTGACATTAGGTGGCCATCAGGGTGTGCGGAGAGGCCGTGTGAGCGCAGACTAAACGAGAGACTCTCCTGCGACATCAGTCCCTTGCTCACCAAAGACGCACCCAAGCACGCTGCTACATTATCCAATGCTACACACGCCTGTGCACCTGTAGGAAGACGAACAGTAAATAAAAATAATAGTATAAATATATATAAATATATATATATATATATACATATATAAATACATATAAATATAAATATATAATAAAAATAAATATATAAGAAAAATAAAAATATATACATACATGCACACACACGCACACACACACATATATATATGTGTATATGTATAAGATAAATACATATAAATACATATTTAATAATTATAAATACACACACACACACACGCGCGCGCGCACGCACACACACACACACGCAAGCACACACACACACACACACACACATATATATATATATTATTACTTGTCCGTGCCGTTCGCATATATGTACACACTAAACCACACGGCATGCCATTGAATACACGCGTGTGCAGTTACATATACAAACGTCTGTTCAGAAAGAAAAGGGCAGCGGTATCTGATCCTCAGTAGTAGACAAGCATTCAACTAAATATCTAGTACCTTACAAACTCACATGCTTGTGTGCCATATTATGAACGGTAAGTAAGCTTAGTGGACGAATAAACCAGTCTAGGATCCTGAGCAGTGTTAATTGTAACATATGTACATATGCAGATGCATATACAGACACAGACACAGACACAGACACACACGCAGACACAGATACAGACACAGACACATGTATATAAACCTTTTATATATACAAACCTATATATATATATATATATACATACATATAAACATATACATACATACACACACACACCACACCACACACACACACACACACATATATATATATATAAATATATATATATATATATAATACACATAAGTATATACATACATATACTCATTAAATACCTGCCAAGAGCACCTGCGACGCACAGACCCTTTCAAAAGCCTTCTCCACCGCCACAATGCCCCTTGTCTGTGTGTTCGCTTCCGTTGTCCCGTTTTGTCCGGCCACACTTTGCGCGGGCTCATCTTTACCGATTTTATCCATAGCACAACTCGTAGGTAATTGGGTATCAGTAGCTGCTTGTGTCTGTTTCTCTAAATTTAGGGGGTCTTTATATACGCCTATGTTATCTGTATCCGAGCTGTTGTGTACAGGGTTGAGCCCTCCCGCGCTTAATCTATTTATATATGTGCTATTTATATCTCTATCGCCGTTCATACACGGCTGTGATTGGGAGAGCATGTTGGTATGTGTGTCTGTGTTGGTGTGTGCACGTGTATTTGCGTGCCTCAAATGCTCCAGTTGCTCAATGAGTAGAGGAATCTTAACATGCAGGAATGTCTTCAGCGACAACAGAGACGGTTGGGCGGCCTTGCTCTGCAGGCTATTCTCTGCGTTTTCATTGGCTGGTGGTGTGTATTTATCGTCAGTTTGTTTGGTCGATACCGTCCCTGCGAGGGAAAGGTTGTGGCGGTCAGCGTGAGGGGCGGTATAGTGGCTCCTTGATCAATACGTATAAGTGCATGCATCATCATGGTCACACACACACACATGCGTATATATGCACATACACACACATGTGTGTATAGATGCACATGAACACACATATGTGTATATATACACATACACACGCGTGTATATATGCACATACACACATACATGTGTTTATATACACATACACACACACATGTGCATATATACACATACACACACACATGTATATATATGCACATACACACAAATATACATA